TTGTTTCTAATAGCTTCTTGTTACTACTAGTAAGGCACTTGTTACTACTACTAGGCGGCAGCTTCGCGCCTGGAACTTTTTCTCAGTAAGGTCACCGCTCTTGTCCGAATCGAGATGTGTGAACATCGCCTGTGGCGCGCAGACATCGCGTTTCGCGAAAAAACAGGCACACAAAGTCGAGCGTTGACCAGCTTCGACGGAAATCGACGCATGGAGGCTCCAGTTGGAGGCCACCGCTAGTAGGTTGATACTTGCTACTGCGAACGCAGACCCACAGGAAGCACGGGCAAACCACATGTCTTGCTTTTTCAATTCAGTCTGTTTCTGACCAAAACCTTTCCCGCCTCCACTTCTTGCTCCAGGAACCTGAACGTCTGACAGTTCTTCTATCTAAAGCATCAATTCTTGTCACCAACATCCAAGTGCTGGGAGACCCTCAGTGTCCCCCTCTCAGTTCAGACTTAGTCTTTGCCTAGCGGTCTAGCGGTCTAGGTGCCTATCACCTGGACCACCCACCCCAAAGTCAACCCCGGAGTGTTACAAAGAAAACGCTGAAACCATGCGAAAACATAAGAATATGTTTAAAAATTAATAATAGCAAGTCCGGTCCCAGTCCTCCCAGTCCTTGCTTGCAGAAAAGGAAAAGGGAACGACAAGGAGATAAGGAAAAAAGAAAAACGTACTTTATATTGAAAGGGAAGCTACAAGTAAAAATTGAAAAAAACAATAAAGGAAAAACATAATGGAAAACAAAAGACGTATTGAAAAGAGACTCTTCGAGTTTCCACCACTTGAAAACGGTCCAAAGGTCCATCCTGAGGCATCCTGAGGCACTGACACGTCCCGGCTGTCCTCGCCGCTCTGCTCCAATATCCAAGTGACAAAGGCCTGACAGGCAAGGCTCACGACGTGTGAGAACTGCACCATTCTTCGAACTCATCGGGGTGGGAAAAAGGTCAAGGGGGTTGCAAAAAGTGCGGTCATCTCTCAAGGTTGGATGTATTGCTTAGTAGGCTGGAGGCCATCCCTAGTAGGTTGGAGGCCATCGCTAGTATAGGTTGGAGGCCATCGCTAGTAGGCTGGAGGCCATCGCTAGTAGGTGGGAGGCAATCGCTACTAGGTTGGAGGCCATCGCTAGTAGTTTGGAGGCCATCGCTTGGTAGGTTGGAGGCCATCGCTAGTAGGCTGGTGGCCATCGCTACTAGGTTGGAGGCCATCGCTAGTAGGTTGGAGGCCATCGCTAGTAGGTTGGAGGCCATCGCTAGTAG